TATTTAATTTTCTGATAGGGTTATAAAATTCATAGATCAAGTGAGTCCAATTTATTTAATAAAGTCTCTCAAAATATCCTTGAGGATATAAAGAGAGATTGAAGGTATATGAAGGTACTTGGAGTGAAACCAATGTGAAAATACCCATAACTGTTACCTCACAGGGTGCAGAGTAGGGATGTCTTCAAGAAATGTTGTTGTTCTGCCTTAGTTGGTGTCTTACAAATTTTTTGGATGAGGATGTATGAGATATTTTCATTTGTAGATAGCACAAAATTGCAAAAAAAAATCAAGATCCAGAATTATCTGAACAGATTGTAGCACTGAGGTAAAAACTAATTAAATGTAGTCATCAAATAAATATGTGTGTGTGTGTGTGTGTGTGTGTATGTTTCCCAAAGAAATTTCATAGCATGGGTAACAGGCTTGAACAAATATAGTATAACACTTCACGTGCTATTTACTGGCAACGCTAGATTTAGATTTCCCAGATTCCAGTGTCCTGGGCTGTGATTAGGCTACATTTGAAAGAATATATTCAATCAGAGTGTCAGAGTGCCATATTTAAAAAAGAGTTTGATAAACAGTTGGGTAAGACGCAGTTGAAGGAGCTAGAGATATTTAGTCTTAGGGAGCATGCTAGTTTAATTGAGGGATATAGGGAGGAATGACATAATCAAATACGTCTTTTAAAAATATTACTCTGTCTGCAAGGTGGAGAACAATTGGAGGAGACAAGAGCAAATATGGGGAGACTAGTAAAGAGAGAATGTGGTAACCCAGGTAAGAGGTAAAGGATGTTTGGAGATGGAGAGAAGTGGAGGTAAATTCAACAGGAATAGGATGGATTGGATATCCATCCATGGGACATGGAGTGAGGGAAAGGGATGAGGTTGTTCTGGGAACATTAGGGTCAAGTAACTAGTAAGTGATGGAACCAGGACTTGAAACCAGGTCATGCGATACCAAAGTCTAAAATTTTGGGCGTGTGATTTTTCACCCACTACAGTGCCTATCCAATGAGAATCAGAGCCATCGAAGAGTTCCCCAAGGGGAAGGATCTGAGGGTCATAGTTTGGGACATGCCCATTTTAGGGACTGGAGAGAAGAGGGTGTTTGACTCCAGAAACCGGGGAGTAGCAGGGGGTGGAGAGCTTCCCTCATGAGGGAATGGTTTGCCTTCTTAGGTGCTCCCTGGAGCATCAGGACACTCAGTGCTGGGTACAGATCACTTTCTTTATCTCATGTTTGCCTTTTTCTCATTGTTCACTCTCTCTTCATATGTTTCGTATTTAGCTCCTGAACTAGATTATAAATTCCTTGAGGGCAAGGTCTGTGTCTTACTTTCCTCTTACTCTCTGTACTGCCTAAAGCAGAGCTGTACACATAGACTGATAGGAAATGTGAAAGCTCTCTGCATGCGGATGATTAATCATCGCTAGAATTTTTCCAAAGACACGCTCTCTAGTGCCAAGAGCACATTTGTTTAAAATGTGCGCTTAAATTTGAATGAATCTGCCTAAATGGTGCCATCTGTTCTTAGGCAGTTTCAGAAATGTTTTAATATAGTTTTACCTTTTGAAAGGACAAACGTAGGGGCGTGCTGTGAGACAAAAAGATGTCCTTAAATAAACACAGAGCAGACACCAGCACATTCAATCACACTTAAGCAGCTACACATAAAGAATGTTTTCTGAGGTTTAAGGAAATTTTAGCTAAGAGGACACCAACTACTACTTCATGCAGAAAATATTTATGAGAAGTTACAAAATTGTAGGCATGGACTCCTGCAGCATATTACTGCATTTTAATTATGGACTCCAGAAATACAATTTAATTTGATGTAAATCTCACGTTCCTTTGAAATGGGTTCACTTTTCAAATATTCGATAATGGTACGCATTTTACTGTGATTTCAGTATATCAATTTAGAAGTTGAAGACAGCTGTTGGGAACAGTCTCTATGTTATTCATTTATATCAATTGTCAATTTGACTCTCATTACAGTACTGTAGGATTTATTGTTGTGCGAATATAACAGTGAAATGAAACCCATGTTTAAGTTCTGCAAATAACTTACAGTCACTTCCAGAACACCTCAACTTAGGTTCTAAATTTGAGCTTGCGGTTTTACATGCACAGTTATTTGCTGATCCACTTTAGCTTGCAAAATCACACACTGGCTAGGTTTGGGTATAGTTATTGTGGTAACAAGTAATGTGTCGAATTTTCAGCCTATTTAACTCACTAGCTACATCATCATCACCAAAACTATGCCAGTATTTTGACATCTGTGTATTTTGGTAGTTGGTGTAAATCAACAGTGGTGTATATCAAGAATTTATATTTACAGAAAGAATTTCTTGTTAAAATAGCATCCAAATATGTTACCCTCTCTGAATACATGTGCATCCATGTGGAAATTCTTTCATCGAATCCCATTTTGTAAAACTGGAGATCTGAACACGTTTACTCATATGAACATTCATTTGGAATATTTTCAGATAAATTTTATTTTTAGATATTTTTAGATATCAGAATTTGCTTCTGATAATTTTTAAACAAAAGATACAAGATATTACAGATAAAGTTGAAATCCCTTCTTGGCCTTTTGCTGTGCATTCCTCACAAAGGCAAGCACTATCATCAATTTGCTTTCTTTCCAGTCCATATTTTTGTACTTTTAGTAACCTAAGTCATAACACTATGAATGAATATTTTTAGATGACATTGCTTTTTTAACGATCTAAGTTCTACCATAGTGTTTATATCATTCTTTAATGTGCTAAAGCATTTTAGAAATCTGTCTTTGTCAATCTATCCAAAGGTGCTTCATTTTAACTTCTCTGTAGTTTGAATTATCCCAGTTTATTCATCTTTTCCATCATAGATTTTCATTTAGGTTATACATCTTGCACCAATTTCTTGCTATCCCAGACAATGTTGCAGTGAATGTTCATATGTGTGTGTGTGTGTGTGTGTCTTACTCTCTTTTTCTCTCTCTGTCTCAGTGTACCTGTCCCAGATTTCTCCCTAGAAAATACAGCTGGTAGTCTGTTGCTGGGTTGTGGGTTATGTGGATTTGCAGCTTTACCACATATTGTCAAATTGCTCTCAAAAACGGTTCTTAATTTATACTCCACCAGCAGTACATAAAAGTTCCCATTTCCTTATAGGCTTGCAAACACTTGTTTTGTTAGACTTTATTTTTTAAATTTTTGTCGGTCTGATGGATGTGAATGAAATAGTCCATCGTTATGGCTCTAGTTATTTGTCCTGCTTGTTTGTGTGTCTGAGCATTTTTTTCAAATACTTATTGACTGTTTCAGGTTTCCTCTTTGTGGGTTACCTGTTCATATCCTTTGTCCATTATTTTTCTGAGTTGCGTGTCTTTTTCTTATTGATTTGTGTGAGTTCTTTATTTCATATATTAATCTTTTGTCGGCCATATGTATTGCAAATATCATCCCCAGTCTTTTAACTTTTTGGTAGATTTTATCACACTGAAATTCTTTAATTTTGAATTATTTGGTCAAATATCTTAAATCAATTCATTTTTATGTTTTATGTCTTATCATAAAATATCTATTACTTCCTTGGGTTGACTATGATATGCTTCCATATTTTCTTATATTAGTGTTGATTTGCTTCCATATTTTCTTATATTAGTGTTAAAATTGTATTTTATATATGTCTTTAATACATTCTGGTATTTATTTGTGTGTATAGTGTGAGAAAGCAATCTAAACTTTATTTTTTTCGTGATGGACGGCCAGTTATTCCAGCACCATTTACTCATTAGTCCATTCTTTCTCCACTGTGTTGTGATGTCACCTCGATCCTATTCAGAGTTCCTAAATGAGCACAGTATGTTTTACTGAGCCAGTTATCTGTTCCTGTGCCAACACCACACTGTATTAATTACTGCAGCATTATGACATACCTTGATGTACAGCAGGACGAGTCCCCCTTGCTTATTCTTCTTTCATAGAATGGTTTTTTATTTTTCAATATTTGCTCTTCCATCTGATTTCTAGAATCAGTTTGTCCTGTTCCACAAACAAAACCTGTGGCATTTTTATTTCAATTGCGTTGACTATATAGGTTAATACGGAGAGATTAATACATAGTTAATTTTGTGTTTTCCCATCCATGAAATGGTATATTAGTATCTAGGACACCATTTATTCAGGTTTTCTTTTTGTATCCTTTAATATTATTTTATCATTTTCCCTACAAATTACACATCTTTTATAAGATTAATTACTTATTATCTTGTCATCTTTGTTGCCATTATGAATAATATTAGATTTCCTGATTAATTATTGCTGAGTTATTAGAACTTCCTTGATTTGGCATAGTGATCTTACATCCAGCAAACTTGCTAAGCTTTTTAGTTTTTAACATTATTTTTGTAAATGTTCTTGCATTTTCTATGTAGACCACTATAGTTTCTGTGTATAATGACATTTTAATCTCTTCTTTTCCTATCAATATGCCCTGTTTTCCTTTTTCTTGTTTACTCCATTGGCTGGGACCTCCGGTTCAGTGTTGGGTAGTAGTGGTGATACTGATCATCCTTGTCTGTGGGTTGTGTTTACAATTGTGTAATGAATTCGCTCAATGTAGCCATTCTCCCCTCTTTTCCTATGACATTCGCATTACACATTTTTGGTATGGTTAGCCAAGGTTAAGGTATGAATTGTGGTCATGTAATGAAATAAAGTTATATTAGTAAGAAGACCTGAGCTTTACCTTGTTTGAACTCTTTCCTCACTTTCTGAATCAACCCATCCACATCTGTTATCAGTCATTCAAGAGGTAATGCATTAAAAATAACTAACTTCAAGGGTCTCAGCTAAAGTGTTTTTGTTCCATTTGACAGTGTTGGCTTCGTGGGAAATGTCTTATCCTTAGAAATGTAAATTTAAATTTGTTGATATTCTTCAAAAATTCTCATTGTTCACATTATTTTTGTTTTGCAATTTTCTTTTTTATAGACTCCTATGAACCAGGCTTCAACTCGTTCTCACTGCATTTTCACTATTCACTTATCAAGCAAAGAACCAGGATCTGCAACTGTCCGACACGCCAAACTTCATTTGGTTGACCTGGCTGGTTCAGAGCGCGTGGCAAAGACTGGAGTAGGGGGCCAGCTTCTAACAGAGGCCAAGTATATCAACTTGTCACTGCATTACTTAGAACAGGTAAAATGGACAGAATGGGCTGTAACTGTACCTACCATTTGTTGACCACATACTTTACATCAGGCATTCTACTACTGTTTTTGTTTTGTTGTGTTTCTTTTCTTCTTTTCTTGTAGAATATACATAACATAAACTTTACCATTTTAATCATTTTTAAGTGTACAAATCAGTGGCATTAAGTACATTCTCAGTGTTGTGCAACCATCACCACCAACCATTTCCAGAATTCTTTCATAATCTCAGAAACTCTGTACCCATTAAACAATAACTCCCCATTTCCTTGTACTCCCATCACCTGGTAACCTCTATTCTACTTTCTGTCTCTATGAGTTTGCCTATTCTAGATACCCATGTAAGTGGAATCATGTAATGTTTGTCCTTTTCTGTCTGATTTATTTCACTTAGCATAATGTCTTCAAGGTCCATCCATGTTGTAGCGTGTGTCAGAATTTCATTCGTTTTTTAAGATTGAATAATATTCCATTATACATATATACCACATTTTTTAGCCATTCATCTGGTGATGGACACTTGGGTTGTTTGTATCTTTTGGCTCTTGTGAATAACGACGCTATGCACATGGGTGTAGCTACTAGCATGTTGTATATATCACTGCATTTAAACTTCACAAGAGCCCTATGCTATAGGTGTTCATTATTATCCCCACCTTATAAATTTTAAAACTCAGGTCTTCCTGAGCCCTTCCCAAGGTTACCAGCTAGTGGTAAGATGAGGATTTGAATCTAGAATTGCTTGGGTCCAAAGTCTATGCTTTTTTTCACTCTGTCATTGTTTTTATTGTAAAATTTGTAGTGGGTGTGAAAATAGATTAGAAATGGCCTCCCTGAGCCTATTTTTTCAGGCTAGTAGATCAGCTGTGGGAACATAATTTAGAGATGACCAATAACTTTTCAGCATCTGGTGCCTTCATCTAGTTGGTTGTTTGGACCCTGCGATGCTTTGCCTCACCTTAGCTTCCCCTTTCTCCCCGACCCCAATTTTACTACAATCCACCCCAGTGTGTGCTCTATTTTTAATTTCTGCATTTGACTCCAAGAACAGAGAACACACATCTGAATTTAGCTAAATAAATCTTCCAGAAAAAATTCTCAACCCTAAAATGAGTGGATTGAATTAGATGGTTTCTCAAGTTCCCTTCAGCTCTGTGAGGCTAAGCACTGTGAGTTGAATGTTAAAGATGGCAGCTACTTCCAAATTCCAAACACAGGGTCGAAAACTGGGGCGGGGAAGTGCAGAGACTATTGGCAAGCCAGAGGACTTGTAATGAATGTTGGAGGCTAAAAGATTTGAGAAAAAACAAAAACAAAAAACCTTTTTTTAACTGCATAAAGAACCCTTTTGAGACTGATGTTGTCCTGATGTTAAATGCTTTCTAATGGTCAAGTTGGCTGAAAAAGCAGATTGAGAGAGACCTAAGGGAGCTCTCTCAGAACAAGGCGCACACCGCTGGGCCCTGACCAAATGACTCCCAGTAACACAGCACCCAGCGATGAAGGCCCACGTGGTGTTCCCATCATTTAGTGTCTCCAAGAGTCAGCACTCCTGAGTTCTTTCTTGTTCAAATATTACATACTACTTTTATATAAGAGAGACTTTTACTTAATAGGATACTTATAAAACATTGATATGAAGACATAAAGGACTATATTCAAAGTGCTTTACTTTAAAGAAATATACCTACTTGTGTCAGTTGCCAGCACTGTTGGCTTTAATTCCCGTTATGTCCATGTTCATGCAAAATTGTATTCATCAGTTGAATCAGAATTTCCACCAATTGTGATCACTCAAGATATACATTCTGCCCCTAATCCTTTCTTCTTCTTCATTCTACACAACCTTTGTGAGCTGCTCCTTGTCATTAAAACTGTTCCTCTCCCCATTAGGCTTCTCTTCAAAATCCTTATAACATCAGCCTCATGTGAATAGTCTTGGTGGCTATGTGGCATTTGATTTTATACATAATTAGTTTATTTATCTAACAGTTGTTTATAAGGAACTGTCATGTGTTGAGGACTGTGCTAGGCACTGGGGCACAGTGCTGAGCAAAATAGAAACAGTCCTCCCTCCAAAAGTCTCATGGTCTGGTATAGGGAGACATGTATTGAATAAGCAATCAGTATGTACCTGGCCATAATCCAGGTGAGAGCTGTGCAGAGAAAGTCCAAGGATGAGGAGAGCTTGTAATGGGGGTCAGACTTAGACTGTGGAGGGGAGAGCTAATGAAGCTTCTCTCAGGGCTAATATTAAGCAGAGACCTGAAGAGTGAGTAGGAGTGAGCCAGCCAAGGATGGGGTTAGAGGATGGCAGGCAGTGAGAACAGTGAGCCTGTCAGCCCTTAGCTCCAGCTAGGGGGATCTATTCACCCAGGGTCGCAGTGACATTCACATGTCATTGACCTTTAGCTCTCTGAATGTCATTTATCCGTTTCCTGTTCACCCGCTGCATCACTCCAGTTGTTACCAATTTACACTGATGTACACGTGTCTTCATGGAGGTTACAGCCTAAGATAATGGAGAGAGGAGGAGATGAGAAGGAGAAGATTAGCATGAGAGGAAAGAACATGAATACAGAAACTGCAGTATGCGTCCATGGGTATGTGGGGTTGAGTAGGTCTAGGAATAGCAGCTGGAGAGAAAGTAGGAGAGTAGTAGAGAAATTTTGGAATTTCATACAGAAAAAGATGAGAGAGAACCAAAGAGTACATAGGAATGAGAAGAATAAAAAGGGTGGGCAGATTCTGCTAATGAAATAACAGACTTCAAGGAGTTTTATAAACAAATTTTTTGTGTGTAGTACTTTATTATGGGACTAATGAGACTGGAAGTGTAACACAATTTAGTTTAATTAGCTTCATTCATTCGTTCATTCAGCAAATTGTGATTGAATGTCCACTGGGTGCTTTGAGTTCTGTTAGGCAATGGGGATAAATGTATGATTAAGAAATAGTCTGTGCTGTCATGTTATCCAGTGACAGAGCAAACCATTTAAACAAATACTTCCAATACAGTAAGATAAATGCTGTACCTAATAGAAATCCATGTAAGTGTCAGTAATTAATTACATTCTCTCTGTCACAGTTTCAGTATATAAGATGGAGATGGACTCAGAAATAGTTTGGTAACCTTTCTTGCATTAATTAGCCCACACTGGTTACAGAAATTCCGTGTAGAATTGGAACTGCCCTTCTGGCCGTGTTGTAAGACCTTACACCTGCTCAGTGTACAGCCTTTCTGAGTTGAATGCACCTTATTGTGCTCATAAGGAAATAACGTTCTCTTTGCCAGAGTTTTGTTGGTTTTGGAGTTCTCCTTGTGTGTGTAGTACTTATTCCAAAAACTCTGCTCAAAAACATTTTAAGCCACAATAACAGGGTACATCTTAATCCTAGAAATCAAGTCCATGGAGGAAAAGGAAGGGGGGACATGCATACTTGTTCTAACCGTACCCCTCACCAAGTGCTCCTGGTATGACCAGCAGTTGCTATCAACCAAAACATCAAGCGAGAAAGCCCTGGGAACGAAGTGTTTGCTCTCTACCTCTGCAGACAGCAGACTCGGGGTCCCCTTCAGCCAGCGATCCAACGCTTGGCTTGCACTGAATGGTTGTGTTCAGGAGAAAAAAACTGATGGTGCCAGTGTCAGTTGTAACCACTCCAAATCTTTGTCAGTTTTCAGAGGTCAATTTTCCATGCACTTCTGAACTCTTTGAAAGAAAATCTCTTTAATTCATTAAATAATAAGCCAAATTGTTGATTTCAGGCATAGGAGATATGAAGTATAATGTGAGGTTCCACTGTTGGTCACTTAAAGAATGCTTTCAGGAACATGTTATTGTATTTATACAGGAAATCCAAAATGGAAGTAAGTATTAAAAGAACAAATCCAGGTGTAGCACCACCTCCTTACCGTGTGCCATTCAGACCATCCAGTTCCTTCCCAGTTTGGAAAGCCCAAAGCAGCCCACAAAGAACAATCTACTCTGCCTCTCTCTCAAGTCCCCACCGTTTCTGGGTCACTCTGAAGATTTATATCTGCCCCAAGGCGTCTGGGCTCACTATGGTATTCCTAAACTCCCTTAGAGCTGAGAAGATCCCTGCTCAGGATCATCTTCTTAAAGAAATGGCCTAGGACTGGGTTTACATGGCTAAAATGAGTCTCCAAGGGATCCTGAAGAACATAGCCTAAAGACCCCTCCACAACGCTGGGTGATCTTTGTTTTACCAGAAACCATCCCAGAAATGATCTCCATTGATTTTCAAAACATTTCTGTGAGACAGACAAGCAATTCAAATCCCACTTTTACAGGTGAGGAAACTGAGGCTAACAAATTTAAGGGATTGGCCTAAGATTACACAAGTGGGAAAGCTTGGTTCTGACTCTCAGTCCTGGGTTCTTTCTTCTATCGTGCACTGCCTTCACTTTCCCCATTTTTGAAGACTGTATTTTCTAATCCATAGTCTCATCTGAATTTTAATTCTTTAGCTATTTTAGAACCCTTTCTGGAAAGAACATTGGGATTGCCTCCACAACATTCACTCCAAGGGGTCGTAGCCAGGAGCCCACTACAGCTCCAGGAATAGACCCTGACTCGTCTGAGCCATGGGAGCCTGCCTTTCTCCTGGCTGCAGTGGTTGGTGCAGAGATGGCTGAAGTTGATCCCTAGCAAAGCTCAGGACTTTTGTTTAAAAACAGTTAGAGATGAAAGGCCCTTTCTCATCTCAGTTATGAATAAGGAAGCATGTAACTTCAGGGCATTTGGCAGCCATCCTATGGCCTTGAGGAGATGCAGACTTCTCCACATGAAAGATAGAGCAGAGGTATAGGCCAAAACTAAGTCCTTGGTGGTAGCACTGACCTTTTGTGTCATTTTGAACCTAAAGCCTTTCCTGTCCAGTTACATGAGCCAATAAATCTCCCTATGATTAAAGCCAGTTTAGGGTATGTTTTCTGTTACTGCAACCAAAAGCAAGTTAACTAGCATGCCATTTAATTTAATTCAACAGGAAGTTTAATAAACGCCTTCTCTTTTTCTCATCTAAGTTGTCCATAAAGCTGTTGAATAGAAGAGATATCAATATTGTTTCCTAGACCAGGAAAAAAAAAAAACAGTGACTTTTTTTTATGAAAGAACTTCAAAGTACTTAGAAAATTGTTACATATTTAATTGATGATTCATAAGCAATAATGCCACCCTCTCTGCACATCTGTCAAACCAACCTCTGTTTGTTCTGGTATTTGGTATTTGGGCCTACCTTTCCTGTTTCAGATATTTCATTTGTCCCCTTGGCTCTTAAGGTCTAGAGCTCTGCTCAGCACCCCATACTACCACCTTGCCACTCAGGCTTGGGTCTGCCGTGTTGCCCACTCCCTTCCCAGTTACTTAATTGGAAAAAATTCCTCAACTCTCATTCCATACTAATGACCATTACACTGTCTTCCTAGGTGAAACTAATTAATCTACTCATTCATTTGTTCATTCATTTAACAACAATGTGTTGAGCACATGTTGTACTAGTCAGATTTCTTAGTTATAGGCTGGAAAATCCACTCTGGCTAATTTAAGCAGCATAGAGTTTATTAAACATAAAGAATATGAAGTAAAGTTATGAAACTGGGCTTGGATACTCCCCAGCTGGGAGCAGGGCAACCAGGAGACACATCTAACCACACCACTGAACTGCTCTGCAAAACATTACTGTTGTCCCTACTTGGCACTTAGCACATTAAATCCTAGATTCCAGAAACTTCCCTGGCAGCTGCCTCAAAAGTACCAGATGCCTTTGCAGCCACATTCGCCTGCAAATCTGATCTTCCTTATGGCCATCACCTCTCACTACTCACCTCCAAATACCACACAGGGGTGTCTGCTTGATGGAGCTAGGTCTCATGCAAATGTGAGTTGTAGAGAGAGACTAGGGAGTGTAGTTTAATAACAAGTGAAACTGGAATGGGGGTTTTCATGATAGCTGAGTGAGACAGCTTAGTTTCTGCCACATGTGCTGGGTTTTGGGCCCTGTTCTAGGCAGTGGGGATAGAGCTGTGAACAGGAGAAACAATATCCCTGGCCTTGTGGAGCGCAAAGTCTAGTGGGGAAGCAGGTAAAAAATAAGTAAATAAATAAAATTTCAAATAGTGATAAGTACCAGAAGAAAAATAGAACAGAATAACAGCCTGGAGATAGGTGTGATACTTTAGATAGGAGGTTCATGGAAAGACCTTGTGAGGAGATAAAATTTGAGCAAAGATTTGAATGACAGGAAGCAGGAAGCTGAGGCAAGAGCATTTCCGGCAAAAAGAACAGTAAGTTCAAAGGCTGTGATGTGACACTAAGCTTGGTATGATGGAGCAACAGCAAGGCCAGTGTGGGCAATGAAAGCACGACAGGAGATGAGGTCAGATAGGCAGACAGGGGCCAGATCACCCAGGAGTTGAGTCAGTATACTAAGCATTTGGGGAAACTACTGGAAAATTGCAAGCAGGGGAATGACTTGATGTAACTTTCATTTTACAAAGCTTCCTCTGGCTGCTGTGTGGAGAGCAGACCATGGGAGGGCAAAAGGAGAAGCAAGGAGACTGATTCAAAGCCTTATGCAGTTGTCCAAGGTAGGGACGATCGAGGCTTGAACTGGAGTGGTGGCAAAAATGATGGGAAAAAGTGGTCCGTTCTGGGTAGGTTTGGTAGGTAAAACTAATACAAATTGCTGGTGGATTGGATTTGAAGGGTGAGGGAAAATCAAGAATGATGCCTAGGGTTTTGGACTGAGCCACTAGGTGGATGGTAGTGCTGTTAATAATGATGGATAAAGCCTGAGAAAGAAGCAGGTTTCAGAGTAGAGGGAAGAGAAAGTCAAGAACAGATATCCAGATGGGGATACAGTGCTGCCACAGGAATAGTAGCTCAGGGAAGAGGTTGAGGCTGTTGATATGAATTGGGGAGACATCAGCATATAGATGTATTTAAGGCCCAGGAATTGCATGAGATTACACATGGAGAGAGTATGGATAAGAAAGAGAAGAGGATCAAGGACTGAGCCCTGGAGCACTCCAATATTTATAATGTGGGAAGAAGAAAAGGAAACATTCATTAACTAGTTTTTGAAGAAAGATAAAATCCAGCAAAGTGCTGTGTCCTGATTACCAAGTGAATAAAGTGTTTCCTAGAGGAGGTGATGAGTAACTGTGTTGAATGCTTGCCTGACTTGGAAATCTAATAAGATGGCGGTTGATGCTTTTGGTTCAGTGAGGGTTGCTGATGACCTTGGCAAGAGCCATCTTAGTTTAGTACTGTAGTGGGCATGCAGGATGAGAATGATCCAGGTGAGAGAGAGAGAGAAATTAATAAGAAGTGACAGAGGTTAATTGTAGGAGCTAAGTAGATGAGAGGAGAAGAGGGAGAGGATGGAGTGTTGGCCTTAGATAGGAGCAGGACAGCGACAGGAGAAAGGGTGGAAGGTTCGAGGAGTTTAGAGCTGAGGCATGAGTAGTTCTGGTTGGTCTGCTTACATCTGATGGAAGGGTGTGTGGCCACCAGCTCAGACTGAAGGCACGGAGAAGAGACTGGATAGAGGTTATAAACAAAATGATTAAAGTGTAAAGGCCTCATTTCGGAGAGCGGAAAAGTGATGTTTGAGAGAAATATCACAGGATTTCTGGTTTTTAGTAAAATCTGTGGTTATGAATTTAAAGTGGGACCAGAGGTATAGTTGTATGTTGTTACTCAAAAGGGCCTTCAAAAAACAATGCTCCCATCTTGTTTCGTAAACTAAAGGAGTAGGAGAAGTTCTGCTGATGGGAATTACACACCTTGTTGGAAGGAAGAACAATGGCAAGTGTTGGCAGCAGTATTTTCAGGAGCCAGGGCCTTGTAATGCCCCTGAAGTCACACCCATGGGTGACTTATTCCTGATGCTTTGCAATGAATATCCTAGCACTGAATTCATCTTCCCAGGAAAACCCTGAACCCCTGGTGGCTCCCTCTGGGGACAACCCCACAACAGCCTTTCATCCACCTACCATCCATCCACCTAGTACCTTCCTTAACTATCTAAGACAGTCATGAGGAATAGGATGAGCAAGCCTTAGTTGAACCAAAGTAAACATCCCCTACCACTTACAATGATAGAAAACATGTATACAGCACTTATTATGGGCTGGGTACTACAACTCAAAGTAATTTGCACATTTTAACTCTTTTAATCACTCCAACTATCTATGAAGTAGGTACTATTTTTTTCCCCTATTTTATGGATGAGGAGACTGAGGCAGAGATGTTGATGTGAGTAAGGCTAGAATTTGGACCTGGACATTGTGGCACCAGATCCCTACACTAATCCCTACACTGCTTTTCCTTGTTATTATTCACTCTTCTTCCTCTTCTACCTTGAAGATGGGGCATATGGGCCAATTTTGGTAGGATTTTAAAAACCTACATGATTTACGCTTGAGTTTTTATAAGAATTTTCCAATGGTTAAAAACAGAATAATAATGTATCCAATTCTGTCCAAGATATATTGTCTGTCCAAAACTTAGAGGGTTCATTATGGTCTGTTTTTGCTACATATCCTTCATTCCATCTTCACCATTATGGTACTGAATATTGTTAAGATATTTATTCTGAGCTCAAGTTTTGAGTGTCACCCTGCATTTACTGATTATTTCCTTTTGTATCTTTATTGCAGCTGCAGCTCAGTTGTTTGTCAGATGTGCATTTTCATTATTTTTCTACCTTACCACAGGTTATCATCGCCCTTTCAGAAAAACACCGTTCGCATATTCCCTACAGGAACTCCATGATGACCAGTGTCCTAAGGGACAGTTTGGGAGGGAACTGCATGACGACCATGATTGCAACACTCTCTTTGGAGAAAAGAAATATCGATGTATGTTGGTTCTTGTTTCTGGAGATCTCAGTCTGAGTTTTGGTTGCTGGTTTGTGAGAGGGAGTTGAGGGTCCTGGGTGGGTTTCCATCTTTGCAGCTGGGTTAGGCTATGCCTTCAGAGGTAAACACCCTACAGGGTTCACAGCTTTGGGTTATTTACAGCATTGTAATTACCCAACTGGAGAACTGACTTCACATAGCACAGGATGGCTTGAAGAAACCTCTTACACAAATTTTAGAAGGCTGCCAAGGGGTTTCCTTGGCTTCTCCTGCTCGGTTTTGCTCCTGATTACTAGGAAACCCTGGCAACATCTCCAAGATGTGTCTATCCCTAGACATGTGGCTGGGTACAGCACCCAGGGTGCTTTGGCAGGGACTGGCTGCCAGACAGCTTTTTTGGGCTGCTTTAGAGCCAGCTGATGTTTCATGCATTTCGGTTTAAGGTTTGGGATCCAGACTTTCTCCAAAAGAGGAAAATGGGAGGCAGCGGAGTGCCTGTCAAAATAAGGCCAAGCCCCAAGGACATTATAAGATGCCTTGAAAAGCCTCTCTTTTTGGTCTGCTATAAATATTTATTTTGTAGTCTTTCATGTCTGTGGATTGTAGTACCTGCTATGATTATGAGTTGTATAGGTGGTTCTGGTTTAACAGATCAGAGTTGAAAAACATATACCAGTTGCCACGTAGGACCTCAGCATCTCCCATACTTTTGCCATTGGTCATGCTATTAAACTCGAACAAAATTTGAATAAAAAATAATGTTCTAGAGCAAAGCTCCCTCATTTCTAGGTATGTTTTATACACATCAGTCTTTAGGTGTGCATCTTTTTCCTGTGAACAAAAATTAAGCCTTATCTCTCTATACCAGAACATTTTAAGGAGTTATTTTGCCTTCTTAGGAGTCTATATCCACCTGCAGATTTGCACAACGAGTGGCACTCATAAAGAATGAAGCTGTTCTTAATGAAGAAGTTGATCCCAGATTGGTAAGCAACTTTTAACTGACTATGTTTTAAAAAAAATCAAATACTAGTTCAAATTTGAGGGGTACTTATTCATTTCAGGTAATGTTCTAAGTGCTGGAAACGTGTTCTCTCATTTAATGCTCATAAACATCTTATGAGTGGATGTCATCTCTATCTCCATTTTATAGATGACAAAACTGAGGCACGGAAATGTTCAATAACTTGCTCAGAGTCACAGTGCTAATAAGCAGCAGAGCCAGGATTCAGACATAGACAGTCTGACTCAGGGCCTGTGTCCCCCTGCAGCTCCCCATTTCTTCACTCCTGAGATGTGCAGCGAGTCCTGAGGGCATGTACGACAGAATCCTGCACAGTCATATCCCTGTGCAGGCCATGGCCTTTCAGCAACGTCAGTTTAACTTTCTAGAGACAATGATAATAGACCATCTTTTATAAAAACTTATAGAGAAAAAGAAGTCTGGTTATTAAGTAGAACCATATTTTGCATACCTGTCCTGTTACTTATTCTAGAGATTTAAAAAAAAAATAATTGGTTTGACCCATGGAAAAATGACCATGCTTCTAGTTTTATAACAATGAATTCTGCTTTGTCAAACTGCTTTTTTAAAGCATAAATATTTGCAGGTTGTATGATTTAGCTACTAGTTAAAAGGCAGGTATGTTCTCCTTTCTCTATTTTGTTAGTCAACTCATGCCAATACTAAAAATGTTGAAATGAAATTTTTCAGCATTTTAAAGTTCTAAAATTAACGTTATATTACTTTTCAAATCACTCAGCTTTTTTTAAATTTATCTAGAAAATAAGCTGGTGTAAAGTGAGTATTTTGCCTTATAAAAAAGACGTGAAATCTTACCAACAGTGCTTCATTTATAAATTTCTCAGATCTACCCCCCCCCCCCCAGATTCTCAAATTCACTATTACCCATGTTAATTACTTCCTCTTGATTCTTGGCCCATCCTCCTCTGAAATCTTCCATTGAAGAGTAGAGGAAGAAGAGGGAAAAAGAATAATGGGGCTGTTTCATCCCATTTGCCTCAGGGAGCTTGAGCTCCCCAGATGGAATTCTGTTCTGGAGAAACCAATGGGTGAGGGACATCTATTTCCAGAACAAGCCCTGGTCAGATACCAACGTCACACAGTGTCCCCACTGGAAAAAGGGAAGAGAATTCAAAGACATGAGTCAAGTGGAATTGAACTCCTAGGGTGAATTCTTCTGCTGTCCTTACCCTGCCAGCAACCCTGCAACATTACTATGCAGAATGAGAAACACAATAACGGAGTTAGCTTGAAGACAAGAATTAGTTCTTAATTGAAGAAAAAAACATATTAGATGCAGGTTTTTTCCTTTAAATTTGGCTAAAGAGACTTTTCTTTGAAGGAACTTGAGGAATTTGAAGAAGGGTAAACATTGTCATGTGTTTGATGTAGGTCAGTGAGAGTTATAAAGAAAAGAGAAATCAGGAGTCAAAAGCTAATAGCTGATAATTGAACAAATGTTGATGTCTTCCTGGTGCACAATAATCTGGTAATTGACAAGTGTTGTTTTCTGGTCTCTTTTATAATTGCTTCTAAAAACTGACATTGCTGTTCATTATTTTATGTACAGAGCTTTTCTGAAGCACAATTGACAATTGAAAATTTGTCCTCAAAACCACCCAAAACACAACTTGGATGGGATTTCCTATATCTTACTCTCGAAATTTCATGGCAAATGTGGAGCCAGCGATGTAAGATCAGTATCACAAAGGATGTGACTTGCTTTCTTTACAAGTATTGGTACCCCAGAGAGACAAGGAGACAACAGAACTGTGAATAGGCCAGTCTCTGGTGACTGGGCATGGGCCAAAATCTTATTCCAAAGTTTCTGCAATAATTGAATGGGGGATGTGACTGTAATAATCTCAAAACCGTGAAAAGTTGGCTTAGTTTTGAGATTTCTTTTCAATAAGACAGAAGATAATTTGGTTGTTAGATTTGACTTTGAAAGCCTTAGTAGAAGTAGAAAATATGGCATCAATATTAATTTAGTAGAGGCAAGTTACAAATGAATGACTCACATAGTTTCTGTCTAAGAATTTTCATTCTGCGTAGCTTGATGATTCTAGAATGTTTTTGGAAATAAGTAAACAACCAAATCCCATCAATCTTGTGCATTTAAATGAAATTCTAGGAGCAATGACACGTTCAAAATACTCAGGATCATGTTCCCTAGATCTTCTGGTCCTGTTGATAGAATACAGATAATCTGAACCCCACCTATATAAACTTTAACAAGTACCTTTTGAAATATATGTCTGAGGTTGAAGGAAGAAAGAGAATTCTCCATCGCCCAGAAACAAAGAAGAGGCTACAGTTGTCCTGGAGCGGAGGGGCGAAGGGAGCTGGAGCAGAGGCATAGAAGTGAAAGCCCTGGGACCTTGGAAGGTGGATGATGAACCTCAGACAGCCTCTTCCCTCCTCAGCATAAAACCAGTGAAGGAGTGAGCCAGAAAGGAAAAAGCATCTGTCCACTGGCATAGGGAGATGCTAGGGAATCTTGTCTGCCTAGTGGACTCTAGGTAGAAGAAAATGTGGTTTCTCTGAAAACTTGAAATCCTAAGGCTCTGCCTCACATGAGTTTGAAGTTCAAATTTATGCAACATCCTTGGTCTGGTAACCCCTAAGCCAAAAAAGTTAGAAAATGAATAATAAAGTAAGTCCAAAAAAAGTAGGAAGATGGAAATTAAAAAGTGTAAAAATGAGTGAAAACAAAAGCCAGTGGAGAGAAACAAAAAATATGAAGTTGACTTTTAATAGACTAATAAAAGGAACAAATCTCTAGAAAGAGTAATGAAGAAGGGAATAAAGAAAGCAGAAATCAATATAATAATATCTGGAATGAAAGGAGGACTTAACTGTAGGTACAGTAGATATCTTAAAATAATGAATAAAGGAATTTGAATGACTTTATGGCAATAAATTTGGAAACTTAAACAAAATGGACAATTTCCTAGAAAAACAACACTGAAACTAATTCATGAAGAATTTAAAACATTTATAGATCTACAACTAATAAATAAATTGACTCAATAATAACGAAGCTACCAAAAGCTTTTCCTTATTGATTTGCAGGCTTCTTTATATATTCTGAAAGTGAATTCTCTGTTAGTTTTATGCAATGCATGTTTCCTCCAAAAAATATATCATGTTTTTCACTTTCTGGTGTTCTTTTGGTTAAAGGAAAGTTGTAAATTTCAATATAATTTCATTATCAACTTTTCTGTTATCGGTTGTTATCAACTTTTCTGGTTGAGTTGTATTTTTGCGTCTTCTTAAAAATAATACGTTTTACCTAAAACCACAGGAATATTTTCCTGTATGTTCCTATAAAAGTTTTAAAGCTTTGCTTTTCACATTTAGGTTGATTTTATTTTGTATAAAGTATGAGATATAGATCTAATTTTAATTGATTTTTTATACAGCTAATCTTGCAAGATTTGCTGTTATAATTCTATTATAGAAAGAGGGAGGGAGGGAAGAACAGAAGGAAAGAGGAAGAGAGAGAGAGACAGAGAGAGAAAGGAAATAAAGAAGGAAAGAAGGAGAGAGTTTACCAAATACTGAAGGAAAAATAAAAGTTGGATTCAGCCTGTGAATTTTTGTTTTAGGAAATTTGCATTATGATTATTAATATGATATGTGGTTTCATGACCTAGTTGGGTTTATTTCAGTAATTTAAGGATAATCTATCCTTAGAAAATATACTAATGTATAGTAAAGGAAAAAAAGTCACAGGAAAAATAAACACCAAATTTAGGGTAATGGTAATGGGGAATTCATTTAGGGAAGGCTATACAGGGGTGAGGGCTTCAAAAAGCTCTGTAATGTTTTAATTTCTCAAGCTAAGTAGTAGGTACAAGGTATTCTTTATACTTTTTTGTATATATGAAGTAGTTCATACTAAAAAAAGTCACATGAATTAAGGTGATTCATTACATTCACAGTTTAAAAGAGAAAAATTATATGGTTACATTGCTAGATGCAGAAAAAGTATTTGATAACATTAAGCATTCATCTGTAGCTTGAAAAGACTCATCAAACTGTGAAAATAAGTGAACATCCTTAAAGTGATTAAGGTTATCAAGCAAAAACTACAGCAAACATGTAGTTTTGCTGAAACTTTTTTTTTTTTTTTTGGTGAAATGCTAGAAGGAATTATACAAGAATGTCTTAAGCACTGCACTTGGAAGTCCTTGCTAAGACAGACAGAATTTTTAAAAAATGTATGAGGATTTGAAAAGAAGAAAAACATCTGTCATTGCTTACAGACTATTTGATTGTTTATGTAGCACATCCAGGAGTATTTAATGATAAACAGAACCAAAACAATGTTCAGAAAATTACTCGGTACATAATCCATGCATAAAAATGAATTGCCTGGCTATACGTCAAAAGCCAACAATTAGAAAATTCAATTTTATGAAAATTCCACTTACAATAACAACAAAAACCTTAAAATTCTAGGAACGAAACCTAATTAAAGACACATAAGATATTTATAGAGAAAATTATAAATCTTTATTGAAAGGAATCAGTGGAAAGTCATACCATGTTCATGGATGTGATGACTCAAAATTTGATAAGTCTTACCAAATTAACCTTTTAATCAAATTTATTTCCAGTTAAAATTTGAGAAGGGTCTTTAGTAGAATTTTACAAGCTGGATCTAAAATTTATATGAAAGAGCAAATGACCAAGAATAGCCAAGTCTGTTTTGGAAAAGAACAAGATAGAAGGGGCTTGTTCTATCTAGATGCCAAAATTGCTTAAACTATAGTAATTAAAACAGTGTAGTATTGCCATTCATGTAGTCAAGTAGACAAATATTTTTAATCAATAGCTCAAAGACACAATTATATGTGGAAACATATAATAGAATTATAACAGCAAATCTTGCAAGAATAGCTGTATAAAAAATTAATTAAAATAAGATCTATATCTCATACTTTATACAAAATAAAATCAACCTAAATGTGAAAAGCAAAGCTTTAAAACTTTTTTTTTTTAAAGATTTTATTTTTTCCTTTTTCTCCCCAAAGCCCCCCAGTACATAGTTGTGTATTCTTCGTTGTGGATTCTTCTAGTTGTGGCATGTGGGATGCTGCCTCAGCGTGGTCTGATGAGCAGGGCCATGTCCGCGCCCAGGATTCGAACTAACGAAACACTGGGCCGCCTGCAGCGGAGCGCGCGAACGTAACCACTCGGCCACGGGGCCAGCCCCAAAGCTTTAAAACTTTTATAGGAACATATAGGAAAATATTCCTGTGGTTTTAGGTAAAATATAACAACAGAAGTAAAATCCGAAATGTCTATCAACAGGAGACATAGATAAACAAATTGTGATATATTCCTTTACTGAAATACTATATATCCATGAAAATTAATGAACTAGAGCCACATGAAGCAATATAAATAATCTCAAAAACATAATGTGGGGAAAAAAAACCAAGTTGCAATTACGTGCAGTACGATAACGTTTACATTAAGTTTAAGGCATGTAAAATGATACTGTACATTATTTACAGTTATATCTATACATGTGGAGTAAGATATGAAGACATGCAGGGAAATGCCACCCACTGAGTGCAATATCGTGTTCACTCAGGAAGGACAGAGAGGAATAGGCATAAGGGGCCCCAGTTACATCAGTAATGTTTCATTTGTTAAAAGACATTCTAGAACTATTTTCACAAAATATTAAGATTTAGCAGAGCTAAGTGGTAGGTACAGGAGTGCCTTTTATATCCTTCTCTATACATTTTTGCGTCCTTAAAATAGTTCATAATTTCAAAAGGTATATGTTCTCTGTCACCAACTTTCCCTTAATGAGGAGTTGACATCCTGCCTTACCATTTTAGATGATTATACGCCTACAAAAGGAAATCCAGGAACTGAAGGATGAACTGGCCCTTGTCACTGGAGAGCAGAGGACAGAGGCCCTCACAGAAGCAGAGCTCCTTCAGTAAGCCTGCAGACTTTTTTTCTTCTGCTTTAACAGTGAAAGTTTGTGTTAACTTCTTTGTTGGCCCTAATGTTATGAATTCACCTCAAAGCATGAAGTTCTCCTGGGACAGTCTGAATTGCATTTAGGCGCCAGTGAAGAGTGGCGGCTTTCCATGAAAAGCTGGATAAGGCTGGCAGTGTTTTTGCCGCCTCAGCTTTGAGGAAGTAAAGAACAGAGCATAGAGAGGATGGGAATATCCTTCTCATGCCAGCCGAAGAAAAGGGATTGTATAATAGTCATGCAATTTTAAAACATATACACCAAACACTCTCGAGCTGTGGGTCTCACATCTGAAAGGAATTCAAGAAACGTCCTTTGTATTAAACAGCATCTTGCTGCAAGCACCGATTTATCCCATGCCAAAGTAAGCTCTCTCCTTTAATAAATAGATGGCCCATATATTACAGTTCAAACACTTGAAATGGGAATGAAAGCAGGTATTCAGGACTTTATACAAGGGCGGCATCTTTGGGAGCCTTTAGATTTGCAGCCATATGGCTTATCAGTGGCACAATGTGGCTCTCATTCTCTCTCTGATCATGAGCCACAGTCGTGGGCTTTCTTGTGGTTTCTGTGCTGCTTATTAAGTATTTATGGAGTGATAATAATGGACTAGGCTTCGAAGGCATTGGTATTTTCTATTTCCAAGTAATAAATAGAGCCACGCAAGATTATTCTAAAGGTATACTGTCATTTCACCTAACCCTCTCTCAACAGAGAAAATGATAAATAATAGAGATAATGAAAGTATTTTCTTTAAACTGTCTCATGGCTGCCCCTGGAGGTTGGTCTGCAGCTTGAGAAGCCTTGAGCAAGTTTTCTGTTATACTCAAAGCTTTCGGTCGTCTAGGATAGCGCTTCCTGATTCTAGAACACCATGGTTAATAATATAATAGGCCCCTAAGGCCTTCCTTACAAAACTTTGAGGCATCTATGCATTTAAGATGAAATATATTGCCAAAATTCACATTTCAAAGAATTTCATGTCACTCCTTGAAATAACTTGAGATATCTTAGATGCTGAGAAACCCAAGTTGAGAATTCCTTCACTGTGGTGCTCCCTTCCCCTCACAGAATTACCAATTACTGTCCTTGAAGATGTCTTTTCAGAATATTGATCTTCAAGCCAGGGTCCAGCCAGGAAAACAAAACCACTCTAGGCCTCTCAACCAAGTGAATTTAATATAGGAAGTTAATTGTAACTGAGATGGTGCTGCAGGAGTGATGCAGCACACCAGAGATCAGAGCAACAGGAGCTCCTACACCTTGAGGACAGGAGGGACACTGGTAGAAGGTTGTGTTGACCAGCAAGAGCTAGACCATGATGAGTGCTGCCTGATGGAAGCTGGGGCCACTGAACAGCCACAGGTGCTGTGAGACGTCATCCCGGCAGGGACCCCTAGCTCTCTCTCATCTCCTCTTCCAGTTTTAGTGCCTCCTATTGGCTGAACTTACCCAGAAGCCAGTTCTTAAAATAGTCGGGGAATGTAGTTTCCAGTAATGCAGTCAAACAGGGGAAAGGTGGAAACTGGATCTAAGAGCAAACAGGGAAACGACCACCAAATCAAATAAGTACCAGTGTTTTTTCTAATTTCTGTATATCCTATATGTTGCTCAGAAGGCTCAGTTTAAGGGTAAGATTCTGAATGTGGTGGTTTCAAGACGCCAAACTGAGTAAGTCTATGCTGCAGGTTCCCTCCACTGTTCCAGATCTGGGAAATTATAGAACAGATATAAAGAAACATCTGAATCTCTAGCCAACCCCAAGAATAAGAAGTAAACTTCTCAAGGGCGAAAGGCTTCTAGGAATTCCTGGGAGACTGAAAGGTGGGGTTACGGTGAGCAAGAGAAAAGGATAGACCAAAACATGGGTACAGCACCAAGAAGGCTCCGTGTCTAGAAGTGGGGGCACCCTGGAGCAGGAGAGGGCTAGGAACAGCCAACGAGGGTTTGGCAGCACTGTTAGAGTGGGAGCAGTTTGTCCTATGAACCACTATGCGCACCTTCTTCCCTTCTCCACCAGTGTTTAGGATGGAGAAATAGGGAAGGGCCCCAGGTAGCTGATGGTGTCCAGGATAAAGAGGAACCAGCTGAAGACGAGCTGCTGTCTTCAGCTCTGCCTGTCCTCTATTCTCACTAAAAACAGTAAGGATCACACACAGCTGCTTCAGCCCTTCATCCAGAACTGGCTGCCCACGCTGAGATAGCTGAGTGTCTAGGAAGGATGAGCTCACAGCCGGGAATGACTAGAAATATGAGGACTGCCAACATTGAGAAAGACAAGAATGAGAAGCGTTTATAGCTTGGAAGGCTTCAAAACTAAACTTTACAAGAAGAGTTATTATATCTTGAGAGATATAAAAGATGGTATTACATCCATGAAACGACAACAGGGTTTTGATCTTTATAAAACAGAATCAAGAGGAGATCTTGAAAATGAAAAAATGTAATTGCTGCCATTAAGAACTTAATAAATGGCTCAGTAGCAGAATGAAAAAATGGAGGGGCAAACTAGTGAGCCAGGAAGATCAGGGCTAAGGAATTCTTCCAGAATGTAAGATAAAAGGATAAAGAGATAGAAAGTTTAGAAGGAAAGAATCATTGAGAATAGCCCTAGGTTTACCAATATCTAACAAATAGGAGTTAATGAAGGAGAAATAGAGATAATGCAGGGGAGCCAATAGTTAAAGAAATAATATCTAAGAATTTCTTAGGACTAAAAAAATAAAAGACATAAGACTTCCAAATGAAAAGGTTACGAGGTGCTAAGCAGTATAATAACATTGTAGAAAATGTTTTCAACCTCAAAATATATAAAAGAATCCCAAAAGTTATCAGAGAAGAAAATTATTAACCATCAAGAATCTGATTTAGAGCAGACTTCTCATCAACAACTCTGGAAACAAGAACCTCTAGTGCTGAAAACAAAACAGAACACACAGGGACTTGAATGGAGGTTTCTGTGTCTAGCCAAACTAGTAATCAAATGTGAAGGTGAAATAAAGGCATTTTTCAAACATACAAACTTTCAGACAGGAAGTTTACCACAGATTGTCTCTTAAAGAGACTGCCACAGATTATACTTTCACACAAAAGAAAAATGCTACAAAGTATAAGAAACAATAATAAGCAAATTTTGTTATATGTTTATGATACTCAGTATTGTATTATATTCACATTATATCTTTTACTAACCTGCCATTTGTTAAATGAATGGATGTTTCTATTTAAAAGTTATTGATAACAATCAAATTTGCCATTCACAGGAGTTTGGGGGGATAGAATGGAGAGAAATAAAATTGTGACAACAGATTTAGAATCCTGAAGGACTCTTGAATCATGGATTGATTTCCTTTGATCCATAGATAACAAATATACAAATGTCAATTGAAACAGATTCTACATAGTATGTAGGGTTGCCATTAGTTTTTCTGGGTAATTAGTTCATTCGTTTATTCCTTCCTTCATTCATTCAACATTTATTATTCACCTAGTATTCAGAAAACTCTACTCTGGGCCCTGAGAGGACCCCAAAGATGAGCAAAACCTAGATCCAGCTCTCGAGGGGTTTACAAGTTAGCGGCAGTGACAGACATGAGCACAAGTAATTATGATGTACTATGTAAGTATTATGAGAAGATATAAATAAAACACGAGATTACAGAGATAGTAATGATTAATTTTGAGCTCAGGAATCATGTAAAATTTGTTCTTGTGCTCATAAGTAAAGTCAGCAATTTTGACTTCTCTGCTGTCAAGATAACTGTCCTGTATAGCATTATGTCTTATTAATCATTTCTAGTCAACAGTTAGGGAGAATGAATATTGCAAATTACATCCACCATGCCAAAGCAAAGCAGTGGGTTTCACAAGAGTCCAGGGACTTTGTTGCTTGTTTGTCCTGACACTAAGGATTATTCAGATAATATGGGTTTTTTTGTAATTGTTTTTGTTATATTGTCGTTGTGCTTATGTTTTGCCATAATTAGCTGGATTGAATATTGGCACAAGTTAAAATTCATCAGATTTAAGAGTCCCTTTATCATCTTAAAGTAAAAAAGATAACTCAAAATTTGTGCCTAATGTGGCACTGCTATTTGATGTCATTAGTCTGTGCTTCTTTGTCTTCTAGGGTCCTGGACCTTTACTCAGGAATGTGAATCACCTTCAGTCCTCTCGTTATGCCCAGACTCCCTGGGTGGTGGCTGGGAGGGGGATAATGGTGCTGGAGAGAGGAAGAGTTCCACAGCTTGGCAGGACAGAGTGGAAGAAAGGGTCTATAGCTCAGGTCTGCTTCTCTGTTCTGCTGCGTCCTGGGCTCATAGGGACTGCCATGGCATAAGGACATTCCTGTCAGGGATTCTGTGAAGGATGTCAGAAAGCAGATATCTAATAGATGACACAGTCTATGTAGTGCACACTGGACAGTTGGGAGATGCCTCTTAATATCTAGCCTATCAAATTTTTTGAACTATTTCCCAGCGTTTCAGTCCTTAATGTAAATATTTGCTGCATTGACTTGGATGCTTCAATTGAAGAGGATTTCAGATGTCAGCCTCGAGTTACTGTGATATTTTTAGTTTACATCTTTTTTTTCGCCTTTGTAAATTTGAAAAGAGACAGCTGGATGAAGGCTATGTAGCCAAGTTAATGTTTATACAGAACTTCTTGGGTGAAGATTTGATTGTGATTGATTCTCTAAACACATACCTCTCTCTCTTCCTCTGGTAAAAAAAAAATAAGCCTGTAGATCTCTGGCTAGGATGGAAGCATTATATCCTGGCCCAAGTCTAAATGAATAGAATATGTTCTGCATAGGGACATTTTACTTGTGAGGTGGAATTGAATTGGATCTCATGGGCTCAAGTTTGCCCAAAGTAAACTTCCAAACATGTGGATCATTTTCTTTTCTTTTTTCTTTTTTTTGCCAGCTTTATTGAGATATAATTGACATATAA